TTCCAGACCAAAGCACAGCCGGGGTCACCTGCTGCCCCTCACCTCCTCCACGGGACACACCTGGACACTGACCAGCAGGGATGCAGAAGGGTTTGCTTTCAGCTTATCACAAGCACCTACAGACACTCTCAGGCTGTCACACAAACCCCACTTTAATGCAGCCTCCAAGTTTTTCTAGCAGCAGCAGTGTTTTAAAAATACGAGTTTATTTTTCCTGTTTTATTTTAGTGAACTCTTAAGACAACACTTAACAGGAATAATTCGCTCAAAAAGAAAAGGCTGAATATTTTTTAAAATTATTTCCATCTTGAAGACACCACCTTCCTTTGCCCTCATCTTCCAGCACAAGCATGTTTGCACAGGTGAGGTCTGTGCCACCTGCAGCACTTTGTGTACAGTTCCAAGGTGGCAGGGTCACGGTGTTTCCTTCGTGCAACGGCATCAACACAACAATGAGAGGTGAGAACATTTGCACGCACAAAAGGGAAGTAAACACTGCACAGAAAGCAACTCCAGGCCTGTAGTAAATCTAAACTGGAGAAGATGGTAAAGTCCGAAGTCCCAAATAATCATCTGGGCAAAAGGTGAACCTGAGAAGAGTTTTACCTGTTGATTCTCTGAATCTGAGCCAGGCAAGCACCTGAACAGCAGAATTCTCTTCCTACACCTGCAGCTGTGTATGTACAGAACTGAAATTAAATATCCTGTTGGCAGCAAGCTCCTAGGGTTAGTACAGAAAAGCTGTAAAGACAGGAAAGAGTGTAAGACTTCAACTGTTATTTAAATTTGTATTGACGAAACGCCTTTGAGGAGTCATAACATTTGTCACAACCACATTAAAAATGACTGTATTTATCCACTAAAGAACTTGTTAGCAGCTCAGTGTAAATTCTTGTGATTACCTCAGTTCTCCCCTCAACAGGCAACAACAGACACCAAGTAAACAAGTGTGGAAAGATTTCCTCAGGAAACCCTCCACTGCCTGCACAGGGAGGAGATTCAAGGTGGGCCTTGGACAGGCCTATCTATGCCCTCTAAGGACATTGACTGTGACAGTTCTCATACCAGTTGAGCTTTCCCACTGCACTGCAGGCAGCTTTAAATAAAATGGAATAGAATCATTTCAGTTTGGGGAAAATCCTGATGAAGAGAATCATGCTGATGAATATAAAACAAACGACAATGAGCATTATCCACAGCAGCCAGTTGACGGATTTCTTGGCATGCTGTTCCAGGCGGTCAGACTCGTCCTTGAGCTTCTCAAAGTTCTGGTCTGCCATCCTGAGGGAGTGTGACAGTGTCTGTGGAGCAAAGAGAGCAAACAGTGTCAGCCTCACAGCTGCCAGGTCTGGCAGCTTCCTCCAAGAGAGAAAAGGTTCAGCTGCAGGCAGGTGTTACCCTCAGTCTCCCCACTCCAATCCCACCTGGAATCGAGCTACAGGATTTCACATCTCAGCCCTTGAACCTTGTGGGCTGCAGAACTGAGGGGTCACAGCTCAACATGCACTACCTGGTTGTCCTGTTTGATCACGTTCTGGGCAGCCAGGGTGTTGTTTTTGAGGCTGCGAGCCAGGCTGAGCATTTCCTCAGCCAGCTTCTCCTGCATGTCCTGGTGGTGCTGCAGCACAGCATCCAGCTCCACTGCCGACTGCTTCTCGTCTGATGTGAGGCCTCTGCAAGAACACAGGGGGAAAAATGGGATTTACACTTCCTTGTGGGTCAATCTCACAAGCTTTCTGAGATTTTATGTCTCTACAAGACAACAAGGCCCATTGAGTCAGCTGAAGCCATTATATTTTGCTTTCTGTGAGCAGACACTTCACCCAGTTTAAAGCATAATATCTGGGATTTAAAGGTCAATTGGAAAACAGTTCCCAAAACACTGAGCACTGGAATGAAAAAATTTCACTTACTTTCGTTTCCTTATGTTCAACTCCTCAGAATCTGGAAAAATTAAAAAAGTATTTAGCATGTTATAAATTCCCTTGGAATCACAAGCTGAAAAAACAAAACTCCTGTAAGGGATTTTTGGATATCCAAACCCTACTTAGCCTCTGCCACGAAATATGGGTGTCAAATGCCTACCTGCTTTCCACAGGGAGAAGAGGACACCCAACATCAAAAGAGGGGAAAAACCCCAGCTGAATCACATCCCTGAGGGCAGGGTTTCAGCCTGTGTGTCTTGGTGTTCTTTCAGGACATGTTAGATTGGCCCAGCTCCAGCTGCTCTAACGGTAGCCATGGAAACTTCAAATTAATTCCTCCCAGTTCCTTACGTGAATAACATGGCTGTGTATTCCAGAGGAACTGAACAACACCTACTCAAAGCACCCAGGATCACGTGGTTTGCTCAGAGCAGAAGGGAACAGGCACAAAATAAATTGCCCCTGCTAATTCTGTAATTAGAATGTCTGTTTCTGCATGAATGCTACAAAAAGAGCTTCCTCCAAGTCCCTGCCACCATTGGTAACAACACTTCTGCCTTCATCTGTCAGGGCTTTTGGCTTAGTTTCTTTTTAAAATCTGCTGTCTTGAAAAGAAGTGAGGCACTAAATTAAAAGTACACTCTGGGGAATCTTGAGCACCTGACCTCACTCTTCCCCTCCATGTAAGACTCAGGTTGACTACAGTTAAGGGAAACAAGAGATCAAACTTACCATCAGTAGCCAGGGGGTCCTGGGAGGAGAAAGAGAACCAAAACTGCAGATTACAAAGGGTCAGTGATAAAGGACAGCCTTGCAGGCCTGGCAGAGTGCCTGTGCCCAGGATTTAAAGAGGTGACTCCCCACCTAGCCTGGGACATTTCTGAGACACCCTGAGGTGTGCCAGGCGAGGTTTAGAACCCTGAGGCAGCTGAACACAAGCAGGACAATGTGTAAATCAGCAGCACTGCACGTACTGTGCCAAGCAGCTCTCTCCTCATCTGCCCCGTGCAGCGTGCCTTGGTCTGCAGATGGACGGTTTTGGTGGCCGGGGTTCTCTCCTTGGCTGTGGTCGGGGTGCGCCCAGGGGCCAGCAACTGGTTTGCCAGAGCCTTTTCTGTCGATGAAGACTGGGAGTGGGGAGAAGCAGGGAACAGTCAGGGATATGAGACTCTGCAGTGTGAGGCACCCGGGGTGTGACCCACAAGGTGCAATCCCAACAGTGAAGTCAGCCTGAACAGCAGCACTGAGTGCACCTCACTGACCAAACCCCAGCTTATTGACATTTCTCAGCTCTCCAGGTACACCTGGCACCATCCCAGACAGGGACAGTACCTGCCCCTGCATCTCCCAACAAAGGAGTGAGAAAGATGAACGCTACATATACTTTGCTTTTGAAAGGAAATTTCATACAATACCTCCTTTTAACAAAACACGAATCCAATATATTTATTCAGGCTTTTTAGGAGCGCCTAGTAAGATTTTAACAATAGTTATTTTGAGATGTAAAATAAAAGTAAGCATAGGAAGCAGGCAATAGGTAAATATAAACACAGAGTACTGGAGTCTTTTCAAGCTGAATTACTAGATCTTACCAATTTTTCAGCTTCTAGGAGTCCCTTTAGGAAGTCCACTTTGCGAGAGTATTCATTCAGCAGTTCAGGGGCTGGCTTGCTGTTGGAATTGAAAGATACTAATATGAAAACCAAAAGTTATCAGCATTTTCTACTGTTCTACTTTCCAAATGAAATAATAACAATAATAAAAAAACCAAACCCATATGGCTCTTCAAAGAAGCAGAAATAGCCTCAGGTTGGGAATACACTTACAACCCTCTGCAAATCACCTTTTCCAAGGCCGGGAGGGCTCAGGGAACAGGTGTTTCCACAGGGAAGTGCATGCTGCTGTGGTGTTTGTGGGGTATGGCTGACTTCCAGGTAAGACATTACTGAATCACTGTGTCATTAGTGTTACAAAAGTACTGCAAGATCACCAAATCCAACCTTCGACTGAATCCCCCCGTTCCCACTTAACCGTATTGCAAAGTGCTACATCTGCTCGCTTTTTGAACACTTCCAGTGGTGGTGACTCCACCCCATCCCTGGGCAGCCCGTTCCAGTGTTTTACTACTTTCACTGCAGGAATTTTTCCTGGTATCCTCCCCTGGAGGATCTTCATCCCAAAGGGTTTTCCCAGAAGCACAAACCCCACAACGGGCACCCAGGGGCTCACCTGGCCTGCTTCTTCAGCTCCCGGAGCATGTCCTCCAGAGCAGCCACATACTGAGGGCAAAAACAACACTTTAAGCGGCAGCATTAAGGAGAAATACCCTTTTGTGGCCAAAGCTGTGAGTTTATCACCACAGCGCTCCCCGTCTCGGTTACTGAGGCCGGACGCGGTGTGCGGGACAGAGGGGCGGGAGGGGCGCGGCGGCCTCACCTTCTCCAGCCGCCACTCCTCGGGGTCGCGCCGCTCCGCCGCCAGCGCCTCGCACCGGCTCAGGAGCCGCATCAAGTTCAGCTCCAGCCGCGTCGCGGCCATGGTGGCACCGGAACTCGCCTCAGCGCCGGGCGCCATCTTGGGGCGGGGCGCGGGGAGGGACGGGAAGCGCCGGGCGGGCCGTGAGCGCCCCGGTTTATTTAAAAAACCCAAAAACTTCCCGCGAATGCAATGCCCGTGCACGGGCACAGAGGCAGCTGCGGTTCGGAGCCGCTGGGGCAGCGCTGTGGCAGCGCTGTGGCGGCTGCTGTGAGCGAGCTGAGCTCTTCTCGCAGTCCAACATGGCGCAGCGCCGTGAGGGGCCGGGGCACGGCCGCGGCTTCCAGGTGCCGATGGAGGATCGCAGCTCGCCCTCAGGTGTGTCCCCGCACTGAGGGGAGGCGGCTCCGCACAGCACACCCAGCATGGGGGTTCTGTCTTTGCTCCAGGAGCACCAAAATCCTCCCCTCTGACACTGCAGCCGCGTTAGTGCTTCCCGTTTCCCCGTCCTTTATCAGTACTCTATAAAAACAGTACCCGATTAAAGGCTTCCTTCGGAATAAATTGCTTGTTAGACAGACATCGATAAACTACTACATGTATTTTTTAAAAGTGCAATGTTTTAATAAACGTTTTATACATGTTGGTCTCAGTTAAGGCTATTACCGCATTAACAGTTCTGTAAACCACAGAGAAAATTGTCATAAAATCATACAAAACATTAAGGCAACACACATTGACCTAAACTCACTGTTGGTCCCATGAGAGTCCATTGTAAGGCAAATGGAAAAGGCACAGCAGCGGAATGGGGGGGGGGCTTGTTTCCTGTACACTCAACCCATGTATTCAACATTAAGCTTTACTTTCTTTGCAAGGTTTTAATTTAAAGTGGAGAATATTTGCTTAAAACAACCTTGTTTAACCCTTACAGTACTGTACATTTCTGGGCTGCCTTCCCTGCAGCCACTTAAAAGACCATGAACAAGTTCACAGCCTTCAAAGGGTTAAAGCCAAAGCTGTGGTCAACTTCAAGAAGAGTCCGGAGAGCTGAAGAATTTCACTTCTCCACACAGGGAATGTGAGAGTAAGGGTCCGAGAACCTGCGTTTGAGTTTTGCCGTGGGCTCATATTCATCCCCGAGTTCCTGAGCGTGGGCCAGTGCAGACCCTTGTGCAATGTACACCGACTGGATGCTGTCAGTCCGCCTCGCTGGCTGCTCCCTCCGCTGCACCACCTGACACTCTTCCTTAGCCAAAACCTTGTCCTGGGATTCTGTACATTTGAACAGCCCGGGAGGAAGTTTTATGTTTGCTGTTGGCATCACCGGAGTTCGACGGGGCACTTTAATCTTGGACAGTGTTAAGGAGTATCTGCGCCTTGAAGCCAGGGAGGCAGAGGAAGAATTTGAAGAGATTTGCGGGAGAGAAGGCACTTTGCAAATGTCTTTGGCAGGCACGCTGGAGCTCTGAGCACAGCAGTGTAATCCAATAATTGCTTTAAAGAAATAAGATACTTAGAGACTGATAGCAGGCCTAAAATGTAACTCGATATGAGCCACTGTGACCAGTTAATGTTTGGTCACCTGGCTGTATACAGTGAAAGATGTAGAATAAAAAAAAGCACTTACTACCTTAATACTGACCTTCGGTATCCATCCGGCCTGGTTTGTCCTCCAGCAGGCTCTCTGTGCTGGCAGAGGTCTCCGAGTCCACGTTTTCCTCGTCAGAGCCTCGCTGGTCGAGCTCAGGTAAGCGGTAAGTGATGTCCTCCCTGCATCAAACACAGGCTGCAGCACCTCTGACACGAGCAGCTTTATGCAGCTCATGTTCAGAGGTAAAGCATGTAGTCATTAACTATGAATGATCATGGTATTTTCTTTCAGCTAGTGCTTTGTATTTTCCTTTTCTCCCTTGTAAAGGCCTACAGAACAGAGTTAGATCCTTTTGGACAAAACGTATCTTGCTTTACTACCTGTGCTGCTTCCAAGTGCAAAGGGCATGGCCTGACCAGGTAAAGGGACACTTACTTTTCTTCTTTTATCGACTGTATGCGATCAATGAGAATCTCCTTCTCCCGGTTGTTGGCTTCAGAAACCTCCTCCTCTTCGTGCACTGAGTCCAGCTCTGAGGCGCCACTGTCATTTCCTTTGACCTGAGAGCTTTTACTCTGCAAGACAGATTCACGTGTAACACTTGTCAGTCACAAGCAGATACATTCATCTGCAAGTTTAAGAGTGGGACAAATGAGTAGGTCAAAGGAGAGGCTGATGGAATTGAATGAAGAGTTGTTAGTTATCCATATAAATGTTTCAAAAAGTAAGAGAAAATTTCCTATTCACCTGATTTCCAGGATTTTGTTATCTTTTTTTATCTGTCAAGCTCAGCTTAGTTTTAGTAGTCACTTAATGAGTAGTATTATTATATCCAATGTAAGTTACATACAGTGTCTATACAACACCAGGTGATGACAGCCCTGCATGCAGTCTGGGGAGGAAGTTGCACCAGTACATGCAGTCCTGATTGCTCAAAGGAGTGTTTAAAACTGAGTTACAACCCGTGTAAGTATTTTAGTCATGCAAGAATACCATAAAAAAACCCCATGCACTGGAGCCAGGCAGTTGTACATACCAGCTTCCCCTCATAAGGGGAAGAGAACCCAAGTTTTATAGGCCAGAGCTAGAGAGAGATGGAAACCAAATTCACTATATGCAGCCTTTGATCAGACACAGTTTGGTTTGTATTAATCAGTACAAAAACCCAAAAGAGTAAGTGTATTTTCCCTCCTAGAATGCAGCATATTTTTGCACACCAGCCATCTCTGGAGTGAAGGAACTCTTTTGCCATGTCAGACACTCAATCTTAGTTCCACTGACAGAATTACATGGGAATAGATTTTGACCAGCACAAAAGCAGATTCCCACCCCTGCACCCTTCATTTAGCAGAACTTCAGGGCAGTTCTATATTTAGCTCCTATCTACAGTTTTGGGCACTTTTTTTTTTTCCCAACGGGTTTTTGACTCACTGAATGGATGAACAGGAGAAGTAGCACTCTCTCCCCAAGAATCTGATGTTTTATTTCAACACTTACCGTGTTCTGCCGAAGCAATGAGAGCCGTCGGAAAGCGAAGCTCTCTGCTGCTTCCAGCTGATTGATTTCTTCCATTTTTATCTTGTACTTCCTTATCTGCTCCTTTATGAGCATCTCTACACACCTGTGAGAAAGGCAAGAGCTTATTGAGCTGCCTCATACCATGAAGGTTCTGAAACAACCATGGTGGGATGGGATGCTGCTCCTGGCCTGGGGGTGTTTGTCACACACATGTGGCTGGAGCACAAGCACAGTGTCCCAGCCCATCCCTCACAGCAGCACTGCATGGTAACAGGTGAAGAGTCCAACACAGCAGGCACAACAGGACAGGAAATGGTGACAGGTAATGGCACATGTTCGTCCTGGGATCACCAGAGCCTCCCATGCTGGCTGTACACAGTGGTGAGCAGACAGACATTACCATGGCTGCCAACAGCTCCAGCTGTTCTACCTGTTGTCCCTGTGCTGGCACAGGGTGGCAGAGACACAACGAGCTTGCAACTGCCCTTCTCCACCTCTATGGCCCCAGGGGTCAGTAAGAAGTTACAAAAAGCTGTCATTTTTCAAATTCTGTTTTCACTGGAGGTAGAGACAAGGCCAGCCACTGAGTGAGGATGGTGAGGGGCTTTCACAGCCAGAGTTGCTGGAGGGTGAGGAGAACAGAGAGGGTCAAGGAAAGAACTGTCTTCAATTCAAAGAACAATGCAGAAGAGATCATCAGGGGGTTCCAAGTATGCAGGAGATAGCTTAATTCTATATCATATTGTTTATTATGCCTTGTATCTCAGCAAAATAGATGATTAGGGTACAAGCCCCCAAAAAATAGATTATCTTGATGTAAAACACAAACCTGATAGTTAAGAGTTATAGATCATCCTACTTTATGCTTCATAAAATGGAGACAGGTGGAAGGTCTGAGAGGGGTGTATGAATTGGCAGCACTGGCAGAGCAAGAATTCAACAAGTCTTGAACCTCAGCTTCTCAGCTTGATACGAATGAAGTTGTAACAGGAAGTGGTACTGACCTTCCATCCCATTCCATTCTGCTTCTCAGCAGACTGCCAAAACTTACATGGTTGTTTTTGAAACATCCTTCATGCTGGTCAAGGGGTCAGAGGTGTCAGGACAGCGCAAGAGGCACGGAGCAAACACGATGGCCAAGGCGTTGGGGGACATGCGGTTCACATCTTCTATCAAAGCCACTCTGCAATTCAACAGGCAGGAAAAGAGATTTTAAGCAGCCCTTGCTGGAATACAAACACCCTGATCACACCTTGCCAGAGTTCCCAAATAAAATGTAAGGAGGCCTCTTGGACACTCAGTATGTACAGCAGACCACAGAAGCTTTACAGTCATTTCACACCTATTAAGTAGACAACATTTCATGTACCAAAGGAACAGGGAATCACACAGGTTAAGCTAGTCTGGTAGCTTCTCAAAAGCATGTCTGGTGATTCAGCCTCTTAAAAAATCACTTTTGCCCATGTTCAGAGGGCTGCTTGGAAAATCCTCAGGTTCCTCAGGTAAGAGCAGTCCCTTTACCAGCACCATTTATCCCTGCTCCTGGGACTTGCATATGTTCATCCTCAGTTCACTACAAGCCCCTCTGTCTAAATCGTGGTGCTCAGATGATTGACCAAGGCTTTGAGATCTACCTTGTCTTCAAAGTTGTTCTTACCTGGTTTGATCCAAATACACCAGGTGGTAGAAGTAACCACACACCTGTTCATGAGCACAACTACCAGCTTCAATTCTTTCATTTCTAAAATAGCAGTACAATCCCCTCACTGACACCCAAGGTGTTTAACACTTTAGAAAGCTTCCAAGAAGCATTTAGAATCCCAGTTTCTCTACAAATGAAGAAAACAAGCTCATTACTTGACAAGATGGAATATGAGTCGTTCCAAGGTATTATGATTTGCTTGTGGGAGCTGTTCCAGGACACTGTAAATGGCATGGAGCTGCTCCTGTTTCTCTGGCAGTTCTGCACGAAGGGAGAAAACATAAGATATTAATTGCTGTGCAAGGCTAGTGGAAAGCTAAAAATTCCTAAATTCTGCTAAGTCTTACAGTCATTTCATTTAGCAACTGTTATAACTGAATGTTAAAATACTCCTGGTGGCACTGCAATTATCTTGCATTTTTAGATGGCACTGCTGTTAGCAATCATCAGGTGACAGACTAAGACCTAAAACACTGTCTTGGGTGCCTTAATCCCACTGAAGTTAAAAGAATCTAAGGATTTAAAGTATTGGTATATTCAGATCTGGTCCAGAATAACAAGAAGAAAAACCCTGCCTGAAAGGAAACTCATTCACATGCTTATACAGTTTTTAGAAAGAACAGCTGTAAGTGACACATTAAAAATAAAAAAAAAAAACCTGAAGCAAGATCAAGTAAGCTAGAGGAGAAATTCCCTGGAAAGTGTTTTATGTAAAATGTCGAAATCATTGTTGTAAGTACACTGGAAAGAGCTGTTTAGTCAGCATGAGCAGCTTAAGAATTTTTTTTCCCAAGGACACAATGAGTTAAAGAAGAAATGTTTCAAGAATGGTTTTAAAACCTACCTACAGCTCTGAGAAAATCATTGTACTGTGCTGAGGTCATCAGTGGGTCTGGCAATTCCCTCAGCCACTGCTTAAGGATCCCTGTGATGGTGTGAATAGGGTAATTCTCCAGTTTCACTGAGTTTGGGTCTGAAAAGAAATGTTTTATTTACAGCAGTTGAATCCTTTGATGCATACAATGAGACCTCATAGAAATAAGATTAGAAACATTCAAAACTCCTGTTCACACAATCCAAATGGCAATTCAGAAGTTAAAAATAGGCAAAAGATAGTAATTTAAAGGTACTAAAGGGCTTTAGGCAGCCAACAAAAATAATGCAGCCTGCACAGTCAACAAAAAGCTGTTTTTAAACACTAAGAAGTGACAGACACTTTCAGACAGAAGAGAATTGCAGGGAAAACTGATATGCAATGAAGTACAAGGGGTGGACAACACTGCCTGACCTTCTTGCAGCAACTGCTTCAGCTCCTTCATCCGATTTGCCGATCCTGATTTCCGGTAGATGCCCTCTGTGTAGAGCCCGTGCATCTCCACGTACTCCAGCAGCTTCTCCATGACCACAGGCACCGAGTTCCTGTCGCTGGTCAGGGCGCTCACGCACACCCCGAAGTGCCGGGGCTCCGCGTCCTGCTCGCCCTGGGGGTCACACACGTGGGATCCCTCTGTCAGCTCCCCCTCCTTCCCCAGCTACACAAGGCCATGGCTTCCTGCTACACGTGCCTTATGATTCCAGAAACTAGAGCTGAGTGCTCTCTTCTGGCTTGCTACATGCCTTTGGTCATAAGGCAGATTTGCTGAACTGCAGCAGTAAAAAGCCTTTATGGTTCACACTGCAGGATTTCTGTATCAGTTTGGCCAACACACACTCTGTGAGAAGGGTTCCTAAATTAACTCAAACATCACCTCCTAGAATGCTCTGCTTCTGCAAGTGCAGGGCCTCTCTCTGACTACATGCAGACATGGAAGGGAACTGTTTAAGCACTTTTTGTTCAGTGCCTGGACATACTCTGTTCATTTACTGAGAAATAAAGACAGCATTTTGCATGCACTTCTGGTAGCACAGAACCCCATCCCAGACCCATGGGCCTTACCTTTTTCCCACAGGAGGTACAGCTGCTCTGGATTTTGGACATGCACTTCTTGTGACAAGTCAGCTTGCAAACTAGAGAAAGGAGAAATTGTTACAAGCATCTAAATCACACTGAAACACTTGGCATCCTGAATTATCCATTTCTACATGGCCTGTTCCCAAGGCCCACCTGTAGCAGGCAGACTTACAAGCAGTCTGCACAGCTGAGGTGTGTTCACTCACCACTGCACAGACAGGCCTTCTCCATGGGCCAGATGTAGGAGGAGCAGTGCTCACACGACTGCCGGATGCTCACTTGGTAGTTTGTGAACACGTGGCCATTGTGCTCTTCAATCTGGTGAGAGACAGCAAGGAATCAGTGAACTCTTTTTGCCTTTTAAAAATTATTATTATTATTTTTAATAAAATCGTCTACCCTATCTCAGATTTTTACCTTTTATTTTACAATTACAGCTGAAAGCTTTCACCCTGAAACCAAATTTCACCCTATCTTACAGCAGTTAGGTTTGCTGGAACATTTCGTAATTGACTTGCTGCCTTAAAGTTCATCAATACAATACAAGAGCTACAGTTTTGTTATTAATATTTAGTAGTTGTTTTCTCCTAAACAGCCCATGCTTGAGAAAGCCTTTAGACTCTAAAAGAAGCTGTGGACAAGCAAGAAAATGCTTGAGTGCCATCTATCACTGCATGAGCAAGATCTCTGCTTTGTGAAAACCAGTTTTATATTGTCACATCTTCATAAAAGAGGTAAGTGAATGAACATGCAAAACAAACCAGAATGTCAGTACAAATTCAAGCTCTTCAAAGGGTGTTTGTGTTCTGTGAGTGCACCTGAGGACTTGGATTACTGCAAAAAGAAAGCACTTACTGCACGATCCTGTTTCCGTTTCTTCTTCTGGGCTTTGGTTTGCTGCAGTGGGAAACAAAACTGGCCTTAGTCTTTGAAATTCAGACATTCCATTCCTTTTTTTTCTCCCCTATTGAGTTTCCCAGACTTTACTTCACCTCCAGACATTCGAGACACTATCCTGCAGCTTCAGCTTGGTTTGAGGGTTGTCTGAGCTCTCACTATCAACTTCCTAAAAACCAACTGAGCTCACTGCCTGATGACAAAGCAACTCCATCTCTCAAACCTCCAGAGAACTCCTATGTTTTCACCAAAGAAAATGCACACTTTCAGATTCTGAAAATATTAAGTTAAAAAATTAACAATTCCATAAAGGTGTATCAGCAATCAGAATTTGTTACACACATGATGTGTGCATGACTAGTGTTTCCCAAGTAATAAAGAATGCTATGGAAAAGGTTTCTGAGGTAACACAGGTCCCTTATGTTAAGAGAGCATCTGTGTTTCAGCATCCCATAACCCAATAAAAGAATAACTTTCATACCTTAGGCTGCTCAGATTCCTCTTTCTTTGTATATCCTCTAATGAATTCATCCAGAAGGGATAGAAAGAGATTCAAAACCAGCTTGACTTCTTTCTCTTCCCTTTTTTTGGCCAGGTTTGTAACTAGGAGCTGGTAATTTTCCACCAGATCTTTATAGCCAACATGGATTTGTCCGTTCTAAAGAAGGAAAAATACTTGTCAGACATTCCTTTTTGATACTGTTGAGACAGTTTCATATTTTCATGTACTTAAGTTCAGAGGTGAAAAAGCACAGCCATGATCAAAGTCAAAGATAACAGCCCATGACAGAAACAGGTTAACACACTTCCCTCCTGCACTGTCCAACAGCACTTGGCTGACACAAGGCAGTGTCAGAAGAATATTGGAAAAGCTGTTGGCTCTTCTCTTTGGTGTTCAAACACAGAAGCATTAAGAGGCTGAAGACAGCAAAATCCATCCATTTCTAAAAATAAATTTATGGCTGAGTGAATGAGAAAAGGAAAACAAAGCAGGCTGCTTGAGATTACAGCAGAACTGTAAAATGAGTCTAACATTCAGTTCTGAATTCTGTGCTGAGAATTGCTGAACTGCTTTGTTGAAGTGCTGCAGGCCAAGCCTTTAACCTACACACCCAATTCATTTATTGCCTGCCAACTTTCCTTTATTGAGACTTACTACTTACAGGAGCAGAGTACATGGTCTTGATGTTTCCTCTGAACTTCTCTGTGGCTTCAAAAAACAAACATTCAACACCAGACTTCTGGGAGCGTAAGTCATTGATCTAGAAAAAAATACATCTGCATCAGATTTTGTTAAAAAAAGAACATCTGAACAGAGTTAAGCTTCAGTGGCTGGGCTTAGTCATTTGTGACCATTCCAATTATTTAAAACAACATTTTTTAATTCACTGTGCTGATGGTAGAAAAAAGGGGAGTGGGGTAGTTGGGCTTTAGAGAACTTTCTTTACTTACAACTCTCACTTTTTTTTTAATATAAGTTTTTCTACCCACTTATTTGTAAACAAAGAACCAACACAAATGCCCTGCATTGTATTTAATGCAATATTATGCATTCAGCAACTTTAGGAAAAGAATAGGAAGGGTCCTAATGCAGACCTACCTCAGTTAAACCATCCAATCAATTCCCCTTTTGCTTTAGATTATAACACAAACTTGCACCGAGACCAGCAGGCTTTAAAATTTACACAAACAGTGAACAAAGACTTGAATTCCATCATGGCTGGGAGCCTTTCACCTTGTTTAGCAGGAACTCATCCAGGTGTTTCAGCTCGTTGGCGTTCGCGATCTCCCGGACCATGGACGCGCGCCAGTTCTGGGACACGCTCGAGATCTTGCTGATCTTTATGGTTCTGTTCTTCTTTGCTTTGCTGCTCTCCTTCCCAGCCTGGGGCCGGCCTGGCTGCCCCGAAGAACCTGCCAAAGAAATGGGTTTGTACATTCAAGCACGGTGAGGAAATTCTGCAGCAGTTGTTTCCTCGCAGACAGGACGCGCTGTGCTGAGGGTTAAATCACCAAACTCACCTTCTGAAACTTTCTGGGTTCCTCCTGTGTCTGTGAAGAGGACACAGGACACGAGGGAGAGGCCATCTCCTTCCTCAATCACATCAGAACTCTCCTTTGCAATTTTCTTGTCTGGCTTTTTCCCCAAAAGTCTACGCAAAGGGCTTTTGAAAGCAGACCTGAATACAAAAGCAGATACAAGTCTGTCCCATTAGCAATGGAAGCTGGCTCTGCCACAAGAACAGGCTCTTAACAATAACCCACAACTGGTTCACAGCTGTGGGGAATATTTAAGGCCCAACCTGAAGGAAAACTGAGCAGCACAAAGAAAGGAAAGAGTGTGAAAGCACACCTGGACTTTTTGGTATTTACAAGATCAGACCTTCAGCACATACAGACAACACCTCACATATCCAAAACATCATTTCTGGCTCAGGAAGTCCCTGGGCAGCAGAATGCCAGAGCCTGGAGCAGGCCAGGGAAGCAGTATTACATGCTTGCTACGTTCTTCAGCTTTTCTCTTGGTGTTGTATTACACTACATGAACCTTTAATCCCAGCTGTAAGTTGGTTCTTATTTTAAAAAGAACCAGTTCACAGAAAGTGTTATGCAAGAAGCAGAGAATCTGTTCCTCAGCAGGGTCAGATATCATGCTCAGAGCAACATGAAACAGCAACACAGCCACTCGTGTAGCTGATGCCAACTTGTGCCTCTCCACAATCACAGTCTCAAGGTGCCCAGCTCAAGCACCAATGGAAAATCTTTTTTTTTTTTTTAATTTTCCCAAAGACAGGCCAGGCACACACACAAGCCATACTTGGCATCCCCTTGCTGACTCGCTGGCTGCACGGGAACGGCCGAGTCCGAGGTAGGGAAGTGGTCACTGGGTTTCTTCTGCACAGGGTATTTCTTGTTGCCTTTTTCTTCTTCAATTGGATCTGGTGATTGCTACAGGAGAGAGGAGAAGTCAAAAACTGCAATTTGAGTAATACAGACTCTTTAAATGGTTTTAAAAGCTAGAATGGTGAAGTTTGCTTGATCAAGACAAAACGCTTTACCCGATTCCCTTCCTAATAAAAGAATGTAAGAATATTTAATGCTTTGATCAAGGATCCATTTATCACAAATTAGGTTTTCAAATTACTGTATAATACTTCCTGATGGCTGTTTTTACATGGGTATCAAGCAAAAAGAAAAATCAACCTGAAGGAACACAGAAACACACTATAGAAAATTATTTACTAGTCTTTAATATTTATAAACAATTAAGTACAAATATACACAACAGCATCAGTACCTGGTTCATGGCAACAGTCTGGGCCAGAGTTGAGAGGTCACTTAATGAAGCTGAACTCCCCTTCTTCCTGTAGTAAAATGAGTTTCAGAATATATATTTTAATAAAGTCTGTGGCCTCTTCACATCTTTTAAATAACCCACATATCAACACTAGATCTGAGTCAGAACCCTGATCAGCTCTTGCAATTTACTTTTAAATGCAAAATGTACTGCATTGAAAACCACGGGAATGTCAGATTTCCTGCCATATCAGAGGGATGATGCTTGCAAGCTGCAAGTCACTAAAACCTTATTTTCCATGGGCAAAAGACACATGAAAATAAACTCCAGACACTGTTTCAACTAATGGCCTGACTCTCCATTTTAACAGAGCCAGGCAGGCTTTGCATCTTTTGTGAGCTTCTGAAAACATTCTGCCCATACAGATTCACTGCAGGACTGGGAGCCAAGGAAAAGCAGGAGTTGTTCACAACTCTCTTTGCTCCCATAACATGGCCCAGGCTCTCAGGAGTTCTCCAACGATTTTTAAACATTACAGATACTGTTTTCTGTGAAGTGAAAAAAAGGAAGCTGCCCTTACTCTAGCTGACCCTGAGGAGACTTATCCACACGTATCCTTCCATCCAAAGACTGACTCAGCACATCATTCTGGCCAGCATCAGATTGTCTCTTTCCTTTCCACTTCTCCCTCTTGTATTTTAGCTTCTCTGGGTCATCCACGTATCTCTGGATTGCAGAAGTGGGGCTGTCCAACTCTTTGGTTGCCCTCTGCTGCCTGTTTTTATCTGCCCAGCAGTCAGCAGGGCCCCGAAAGCTGCCAGTAGCAGACAGTGTGTTACAAACATTCAGTGCAAGATCTTTTGGCCTTTCAGGGCAGGTAAAGCTTTGGCTGCCTTTTATTTGGTTATTCTGATTCCCTTGTGCTTTCATTCTGTCAGCTGCTGTGTCTTCTGCTTCTGATTTAGGTGGTTCCTCAGGAACAGAACCACTTTCTTTTATCTCATTTGATGGTGGAATGTCTGAAAGAGTTTTTTCTTCACTTGGACTTTTCTCTCCCTCACTGCTTCCCTGAAGGACATTATCTTCTTGTGCTGTGGATTTCTCTGGCTCTGGAGCAGTTTCCAGGGTCTCTTCAGAAACAGTTTGCTCCTCGTGGCACAGCACAGATGGTCCTTCAAAGGACAGGAGCACATGCTTGTTCTGCAAGTCGTTGTGCTCCAGCCCCCTCTGCCGACGGGACTCCCGCTTCTCCCGGCTGTTGGCTGCTTTCTCCGAGCCCTCCACCGTGTGCTTCTGGGGTAATGTGGCTTTCTCAGATGAGCTCAGGTTTTCAGCTTGTTCATTTTGAGCTTGATCTTCGTCTTCAACAGCTTGACCTGGCTCTGACTCGTGTTTCACAGGCAGCTCATCTGTTGCTGGCTCACTCTGCTCGTCCTTGCTTGTATCATCCTCTTTGTCTTCATTTTCCTGCATTTCTCTCTGCTTTTCTTCAGCTTTCCGCTTTTCTAGAATCATTTTCTGGTATCTGTTAAGAATTTTTAATATGAAAACACAAATCCTTAATGCCCAAGGGTTAAAAAAGCCACCATCTGCTTAAATGCAGCCCAAATAGCAATACAGACCCAAATTATACCTATGGTCCCAGTGGAACTGCAGGGAGGAGTCTGCTTGTCAGGACTGGCAGCACCAGTTCAGCTCAGCTGAACAAAGCTCAATTCTGAGCACTTGCCACACTCCACTGCCACTTGCTACTGACTGAAATATCACATGGCAGTAACTACCTTGAAGTTCATACAATCTCAAAATGGTCTGGCTTGGGAAGGACCTTAAAGAACATCTCACTCCCATGCCCTTGCCATGGGGATGACACACCTTCCACTATCCCAGGGCGTTCCAAGTCCCACCCAACCTGGCCTTGGACACTTCCAGGGCTCCTGCTCAACTTCCTTGGGCAACAATTTACCAAACTGTTGACTCAGTCACCCCAACACACAAACTGAGCTTGGCAAGTGAAGCCAGGTGATTAAACAGAAGTTTTCATGCCCCCTTGCTCCTTCCCCCGTACCTCTTTCGCTGCAGGTGTCCCCTGAGCAGGGCCTGCAGGAGACAAACTCTGGTCCTGAGCTGCAGGAAGCGTTTCCTCTGCCGGTGCCGCCTCCAGGCCGCCTGGATCTCGGTGGCAGCGCTGTTCCTCTGCAGAGCCATCCTGACACAGCGGGAGCGCCAGCACGCCTGCAAACACACGGTGCTCAAGTGAGGGAGGGCTGCCTCGAGGTGGGGACTGCTGCATGACACTGTTTGTTTGGGTTTTTTGTTTGTTCTTAGGAAAATAAGGCTGGCGATTCTCAAAGGTACCTGGAGAACAACGGCTGCCTGCCGCAGCCTGAGGAAGCGTCTCCTTTCCAAAACCATCCTGAGCCAGCTCTGAAGGAGGATGATTTTCCTGATCACTTCTTTGTGTAGTGTATCCTGTAGTATCTGTCGTTCAGCTTCTTTCATAAAAACCTGTTCAGGTAAAGAAAAGTTCATCAAGAAGAAGTTAACAAGAGCCTTTCATCCCCCACTAGAGCTATAATAAGATAACAGGTAAGGTAATTGTTTGGTACCACTACACCAAACCTTACTGACTGACAGCTTGCCCAAAATAAAAAGCCCTTTTAAATTTCAGAGTTGAGATTCTAAAACTTACACCTGTCCTTACAGCCTTCAAATCACAGAATCCTTCTCAAATGCTAACATCGACCTGTTTGACAAATGCCAATAGCAACGATTTGCCAAACTATCTATATAACATAGATTTGTACTGTAGTCAAGAAACCAGGTTGGTGTCAAAACCAAGGGGTCAAGTACAATCTCTGTGTCACCACTTGCAAGAGTTAAAATAGCCACTTTAGGTACAAAAAGCAGAGAAGAGTAACAATTGTAAATGTACTGCACTGAATTTTGCAGTGTATAGCAGTGTTTCTTACTGCCTTACAGATAGTTTCACAGACCTTGGTCTTCCCTATTTGATAGTAGTTTTCATTCAGTTTTAGTTTATTCAAATAAACACAAATGTCTTCCTTGGAGGCTTTGGCATTTTTGGGTAGTAACACCTGAAACTGGTCAATGAATTCCTGTAAAAAGCAGAGACAGTAAGAGACCAAAGTTAGAAGGCAACTCCCAAGTTTAGAGTTTTAACTCTAAAATTGAAATTTATTTAAGACACTTAAGCTACAGGGATCTGAAAATACTTACCTCTCATTCCAAACTGACCTATTTTTCCATGTAAAATCCAGGCTACAGCCAGCCTCATGTTAACTGAAAGATCACCTGGAAGTGATCTCTAAACCTACACAGAGTGTTTTACAGAAAACTAATTCCCACATGGAGACAGCACTGTGCAGCACTGACTGACTGCACTCACAATGTTTTCCTGCACAAAACCAGGAAGAATTTCCTGGCAGATGACTCAGAACAGTTTAACTATGACTTTTTACCATGCAGGCTCTCTCAAAACTACAGTGCATTCTTACAGCTCATCCCAAGTAGTCATGAGCCTCACATGAAGAGACACACAAGACATGTTTTCCCAAGAGAGCAGATATTCCTGAAAGCACAATCCACCTGCAGTTCCCACTGTACCTGGAATGTGTATTTGGCACTGTAGCCAGACCTCCTGATCCGCACAGTTTCCAGCATGCCCGTGTACCGTAACTGCTGCAGCACCAAGCTCTCATCAAAGAGCATCTCCTTCTGTAAAACATCACCAGAAAACGGCCAGTCAGAGCCTGAGCAGCCCAGCTGCTGTCACAGGGACAGCAGGTTTCTTCCCACACCTCGGTTACCTTTCACCTGCACACAGAGTGACAGAGACTAAGTTAAATAAAGAGATTGCAAGGCTCGAGCCCTGGATCTCAGCCTCACCTTCTCTGCATTGGAGCGGATGCAGCGAATGAAGAAGGGCTCAGCTCTGCCCAGTGTCTCCAGCAACTTGTTAAGTGAAGCCTGAAATGAAACAATCACAAAGGTTTTTCTTCAGGTATCAGCATTTGGAGTGGTGTTTGACAACATGACAGCTTCTGCCTCAGGAATCAGGTTGTTTCAGGTCTCATGGCTATACAAAATCCAAACAGATTCTCCCATATTGCTCAGCACATCCTTGTGTTTGGTGTTTGCTTTTAGTTTTCATCAAGAGAGTTTAAAGCAGGGTTTGAACATGCTCTCACAGTATCACTAGATCTGTACACAAGAATGATCAGTACAGAGAACTGACATTTCATGGCATAAATGGCAACTCAAAATGTACTCTGATTTTAACCAAGTAATAAACCCCACTTCAAAAAAAACATAAGAATAAAATCCACTTTGTTTTCCAAGCAAGACCAGCCTAGATGAGCCCAGGAGGGCCTGTGCCCTGAGGTGTGTCACCTACCTGGAACTGGGCACTTATGCTGGGGGGTTTCTTCTTCTTGTGCAAGTGCAAAAGGGACTTCGTAGTCCGATCGTGCAGGGTCATGCTCATGATGAGCTTCAGAGATTTGGAATCCAGCAAGTTCTACAAGAAAATGTTCATAATCAACCAAGTGCAAATCTTCCAACTAAAAGGGAAATATCTTGTCTGAAATAAGTCAGAATGACACCAGCTACCCAGAGTTCCACATTCAATGGCATGTTATATTTAATGATTATTTCTATTTTGGGCCAAAACATTTCTTAAGAGTGAAACTGTTCCACTGCCCCGGGCCCAGAGTGTAAGGTGAACAAGGGGAATCACAATCACTGCATTTGGCTTCCCTGACTTGGAAGTGACTTTTTGCATTTATGGCATCTCCATATCTGTCTAATTAAGTAGTTCTTATTAAAGTGAACATTCACCTATATTTTAACTTGTCAGGATAAATAACACAACTTTCCTACAATATAAAACAGCTCTGAAGTGAGTTCTGTCAATCAAAATGAAATTCACAGTGCATAAAAGCCCAAACCCAAGAGAAATCTAAATTTTCTGATTACCTTGGGAATTATCTGCTTTTGCTTGACACCTTTACTTTTCCTGTTAAAATATTAAAGATCATTTAAGAAAAAAAAATACACATGATTTTTTATTATTTCAGCAAGCCATAAGTTGGTGCAATTTATGAGGAAAGGTGAAGGACAGAAGAAAATGAGCACAACAGCACCAGAGTGTGTTCATGCACATCTCACAAGTGATTAATGCAAGAAATGCAAACTGCTTTTCAACAAGAATTTTTTTTTTTAATAAACTCTGTAGGTATTGAAAGCTTTCAAAAGTGAAACATTTTCTCTGAAGTCAAAGCTATTCAAAACTACTCTGTTGTACAACTACTGGGGTGTGAGTTACTCTCTTTAGCAACTGTATGGTCATTAAACCCATTATAACACAAAGGCACTATCAAATAAAAATACTCAATTCAGAAGCTACAGCTGCTGGCACCAGAACCTCTGAAAACACCCAACTGCTCCCAGGAGGACAATGCATGCCCAGCACCAGGAACTCTGGAATGTCTGAGCAGGACACACACCTCAGGCTCAGCTCTCACCCACACACACAAGGTGAAGAAGTGGAAGCTCTCAGGGAGAAGCTGCAGTCACATCCTGCTGGCTCTGAGCATATTAACTCTGTGATATAGGGCAGGCTCCTGCTCTGAGCCACCCAGTTTACATTATTATACAGCAGAGCAGATTCATTCCCTTACACATGCACAGGACTGCAGATGTAAAGAGTCTAAACCCAGGAATATATCCAGCATCAGCACCCTGAATTTCAGGAAACATTTGTCACACCTTGTGGAGCTCTCACTATTGAGTATTTTGCAAGGACAAGCTCACAGTACATACTTGGGAGTTTTTAAACCAAGTTCACATAAGATGCAGGTTTAACTTTCAGCTAATGCAATGAAGCAACAAGGTGCTCTCTACAGCCTACTTGCAGAAGGGATGTTTTATTTTTAATTGCCTTGTTTAGTGTTTTTCAAAAGACAAATTTGGCACAAGCATAATTTTTAGGGACTGGAATAACTGCTTGGTTCTTGTTGCACTTTCAAAGCAATACCCAGAGCACTCACAGGAGGTGGGAGCGGTGTTGAAGCTGACTGAGGGACCGAAGCAGCTCACAGGGATCATCACCCTGCCAGGGCAGTCCTTTAATACTGGCGATGATTTGGTCATGCATGTCTCTAAAATGATCCACAGCAAAACACAGGTGCCAAACAGAGATACACAGCCATGAGAGGGGGGGGGGGAAAGGAGTTAAAACCCCAAAAGGTTCCATCACCAAGTGTGTGCCAAAATGTAGCAGGTCAATCCCAGCTACTTTTTCCTAAACATGAATGATTTTGAAGACAAGTCAGAATTTTCTACTCCATCAGTGCTCTAAAATTTAACTGCCAGGGTCTCATACTCAACTTACTCTCTGATTCTACCTTTCAATGTAAATTCTTGAGCCACCAATTGAGAAAATGGAGGAAAATTTAGTAAAATGCACTTAGCAGGGAACTCTTCTGGTTAAGCCAAGGAACCTTTTCAGGCAGATATAAGCTTCTTTATAACCAACAGTAAACAGTTTTATAGAGAGAGATTTGACTACTAAAATGAGGCTACTTAAAAAGACTTACATTAGAAAGGTAAGTTATAAACAAGCTGTTAGATGGATACTTGAAGAAATTTTGGGTTTCATTTCCATTTCAAACCTATTCATGTTTAGTTTTTCAAAGTAAGCCTGGGATGGTCCTTAATTCGTGGCATATTCCGTTCTTCAAGCATGCACTGTGCTTGTGAAGTGCTGTGTCCTGGCATAGAACTTACCTTCTTTACTCTCCAGAGAGGCACAAACCAAAAATAACAGAAGTGTAAGAATCACTTCTGACTCTTAGATGCTCTCCCTATTCTGAGCTGCTCACAGAGGCAGCAGCATTATTACACAGGTTTGCTGCTTCCCTGGGTACCTCTGAACTTTTTTGAGTATCAAGATTTAAGATATTTAAGGAAACAGATCTGGTAAGCTGTGACCAATCCTTTCACCCAAACTGGATATTTAGTTCTTTGTTTCCTCAAGTGACACAGCCTTTCCAGGATGCAGTAATTAGGAAGCAGCATGAAGTCACTACTTTAAGTGCTCTATGGCTTCACTGTCACCCAGAGCACACTGAGAAAGTCACTGTGTCCTGGAAATGTGCCTCCCTGGCCTGGGAGTTCAGGCCTTTTGCTACTTACTTCTTGTTCTCACAAAAAGAAATGATGTCTTGAAAAGCATTTATATCGAAATCCTCAGAACAATCAAATGAGAAATCGAGCACTGAGCGGCTGCAAAAGGAACACGTACAAAGCCTAAATATCCATGGAAAGGCAAATCTCCCTGCAGAGATACAGTTCTGTAAGCCTGGCCCTGCCTCTGCCCCCTTCAGTGACCCACACTGGCTGCAGAGGAGCACACAATGCTAAAAGCTGCTCACACCAACCACAGAGAACTCAAAAACCCAGTGGTAAATGGAACTGAGGCTGTCCCCAGCATGTGGTAGCATTGGCTCTTACATAAAAAGCTAGAGTGTTGTTTAGATGGTATTAAGAAGGCCAAAGAAAACAAGACAGAAGAAATAAAACTTGCTTTCCTTGTGGAAAGATCTAGTTGAGATTTGATATATGAAATTCCAACTCAGTAATCCAGCTTTTCCCTGTAGGGGTTAAGGATGTGTTTCTCACCGATAAACTTTTTCTACCGGCGTATTCGATCTCTGGAGTTCTCCAAGGGGAACTCTGGGTCCTTGACGTACCACTCCTGTCAGGAAATTACCCAAAAATTACATTTTGACAAAGATATGAGCAGGCAGAAAGCCCCAAACAAACCACCAACTGCAAAGGGCCTGGAGTTGTTATCCAGTCCTTTATCAAGGTACAGTACTTTTCTGCTCAAACTCCCTTCTCCTAGAAAGGAAGTTGCAACTGCTCAAATTTAGTAGTTAATCCTGAATACTCATTTGATACTTCAGAGAGGTCTAAGATCAAAACTAGTGATGAGAATATCAGAACTATCACTCCCAACCTTCACAAACAGACCTTCAAGTCAGTCCCAGCCTGCTGGAAATGCTGCACTGACTGGAGGAGGAAAGCTGAATGACCTCAGATAAGAACAGTGACAATCTCCTCCATGTGTGAATATTAAACCATTTCCACACCCCATGTGCCTTTAGCACCAAAGATGGTGTCTGGTTGATGAGGTTTTGCCACAAACTCATTCTGCCAGCAGAGCAATTATAGAGTATTAAGTGTTTTCAGAGCAGTTTTCTGTTCCATACCTGCAGTTTTCCAGCCCTACCTGCCGTTTCCCATGCCATACATGCACTTCCCCATACCTTACCTGCACTTTTCAAGCCCTACCTGCAGTTTTCCATTCCACTCCTGCCGTTCCCAGCCCCATCCCTGCCGTTCCCCGTTCCATCCCTCTCGTTTCCAGCCCCATCTGCCATTCCCAATCTCATCCCCGGCGTTCCCAGCCCCATCCTCATCTGCCATTCCCCGTTCCATCCCTCTCGTTCCCAGCCCCGTCCCCTCTCGTTCCCTGCCCCATCTGCCGTTCCCAGCCCCGTCCCC